ACCATACTCTCTGGTCTTATCTGCAGTTACCTTTCCTTCATGCTTTCCAGACATAGCTTGAACTTTATAGCTTCATATCCAAGTGCTCTCCCCACCCCCCTGGAGATTTCCCTGTGAAAACCCACTTTTACCACTGAATTGGAGCAAAACCACAAAGCTCCACAAAACCACTTGGACACGGAGCTTTGAAGCGTTGGCCTGTGCATGGAAAGTGTGGGGCAAAAGGAAGGCATGGATAAGCCCTCAGCCTGCAAAAGGAACACAAGATAAAGGAATGATTCCAATTTTGAACACCAGAGAGTCTTTTGAAATAGCTAAACAATCGAGATTTTAAGCCACGGTAGGTTGCTCAATTGTGGTTTTGCAGTTTGTATTGCACACCTACATAACCACTGTGCATCAAGCAAGCTGTCCAGGGCATATTTTAAGCATATCCGTCACCGTGGTGCAAAGATCCCTCCGGCGTCCCCCCCCCGGCAACTCCAAAACAAGGGAGGGGGTGGTAGAAAATGTCCTCTGCCTCCCCCACTGCCCTGATCCCCCTGATCAAGCAGGAAAATGTGCTGGCGGGGACTTCCGGGTTGGCGCCATCGTTTAATGGCGGATTCCCTCCTAGCTCCGGAGGGAATCGGCTCTGCAGAGACTGGGTCTTGCCGCTGCGGCGACGTGGGGACCCTTAAAATCACAGGCGCAGAAGCCTGTGAGCGTAGTGACTCGGCGGGCACCATTTGCGCCTCCCCAATCCGTGAAGGAGCCTTTTTAAAGGCTTCGTAACAGGGACGGGGTGCGGCGCAGTGCTGAGAGTACTCTTGCTGACTTTTTCCTTGGAACATTCGGACTCTAAAACATCAACCCGTGAGTAATACGGAAATTGGAACTTTAAAGAAAAATTTTGCGGATCAGGAACGAGCGGGGAAGGGTTAAAAAGGAAGTCTACCCCCCTCTTTGTAAACAATTTAAAGCAAAGGACCTGCTAGCTAAGGTCGAGAGAATCTTTTCTTTTTTTTAGTAAAAGACTTTAATTTTACGGTTTTGACATTATAAGAATTTTTGCTGGAGGATAAAAAGATTAATTTTGGGAGCTGAAGTTTCACCCCCCCCCCGTACCTGGGAATGTCCCACGAGAGAGCCTGTTGATGAAAGACTGGAAAGTTTGACAGCTGTCAAGTTGGCTGTCAAGACGGAAAAGGAGAACTTTGTTTTTGTTGCTTCTGTTGGTTAATTTGTAATAATTTGTTGAAAATAAGGAAGGGCTGATACAAAATAATCTGACTTTTGGACTTGAGCTGAAAGGAATACTAAGGAACTAAAATCCCCCTAGAGGGGTTTAGTGACATTACAGGAATGGCTGTGCGCCGCTTTTCACCAGGAAGCAAGAGGAGGACAATGACCAGGAGCAGGGGCGTCTTCAGCAGGTGCAGAGGCTAAGCCTCTGTGGGGATCGATCTGCTCCTGCGGAGGCTTGGGAAGGAAGCTGCATGCCTGCCAGGCATATAGTTGGCGGGGCACATCTGGCGGGCGTGCAGGGGAAGGGGAGGCCGCCAGCAGAGCCGTGCAGCTCCCCCACTCGCTAGGGTGCCCCTGAGAGGCCGGCGCCCTGGCGCAACGAACCACTAACACCAATGGGAAAGATGGCTCTGAAGCTGTCCAAATTTTTTTAAAGGAAAAAAAGAGCACAAACATGAGGTGTTCAATGACTTTTGCCCCAAATAACAGAAATAACACCTCCTCCCACGCCAGCCTGCCTGTTTGTTAAGATCTGCTTGGTGGAGTGAGGCTCACATACAGTGGCCCACAGAATGGCCTTGCGAGGCATACCTTGCCTTTGCATTATTTTCATTTAGATGGGAGGGAGAGGCACACTTTTTTGTCCCGATGAAATGGACAGCGATGCTATATTTTCACTTCTGCTGCCTGTTCTGCAATTGCAATCGACTTTAGCATGCTGGTTGACGTATTGTTTTAAATTGTTACTGTTAATTCTGATGTTAATGCTATTGTTAATGGCAATGAAATCCATTCTGGCGTCATTTTCCCTGTCCCTCATTCTAGGTATCTTGGAAAGGTTGATGCTGCAATGTCAATCATTGATGTCTCCATGCTTACTGGCTTTTCACCTGACACTGGAGATCTTAAGAGGGTAGGTGAGCTTTCCTTGGCGCTGGAGATGACTGCTTGAGTTGTTCTTTGAGAATATTGCACTAGAAAATTCACTGCGGTCAGCAAAAAAACCTTGGAATTAGATCCACAGGGAGAATGGATTAGGCTTGGCCATAAATGTGCCACCAGTTCTCCTGCTATGAGGCAGCAGCTTACTAGACTGGGTGCAACAGAGGATCATAGAATCATAGAGTTGGAGGGGACCCAAGGGTCATCTAGTCCAACCCCCTGCAATGCAGGAATCTCAGCTAGAGCATCCATGACAGGTGGCCATCCAACCTCTGCTTAAAAACCTCCAAGGAAGGAGAGTCCACCACGTCTCCTGGGAGTCTGTTCCATGCAGGAATTTCAACATTCCTCCTGCCTTGGGAGAAATGACTGAGGGTTCTGTGGAATTTCCCTAAGAAATTTCTCTAACCGTATGAAAATTCATCCTACCTCTCTTGAAATCCCTCAGATACATACCGTATTTTTCCGTGTACTGGATGAGGTTTTTTGACACAAAAATGTCAAAAAACTGCGGTCGTCCAATACACGGATAGTGGCATTGGGGGGGAGATGCCACTGTGTGCGGGGAGCGATTTGGGGGCGCTGGCTGGCGGTGCGCAGCTTCCCCTGATGCCGCTGCACATGGGAAGCACTCCCTGGATCGTTTCCCGCACGCAGCAGCACGGGGGAAGGTGCCCTCCAGCCAACTGGCTGGCTAGAGCGCAACTTCCCTCAATGTGGTTGCACACGGGAAATTATCTAGGGAGTCTTTCCCGCCTGCAGCTGCGTGGGGGGAGAGGCTCAACAACTTTGGGCCATCTCCCCTCATTTTCTTAAAATTGAGTCCCCCAAAATAGGGGGGAGTCTTATATATGGGGGCGTCTAATAGACAGAAAAGTATGGTATATTGAGCCTGGCACCTCCAAATTTCCTCTAGATGAAATGCTCTACCCCTGAGGGGTTGCATGCTTGGGTTAACTCCAACCCTTGGTGCCAATGATGTCAATTGTTCTCATTCTGTGTTCAGCTTTCTGAGGGAGTCGACAGATACATCTCCAAGTTTGACATCAACGACGCCCTGTCTGAAAAAGGGAACCTCATCATCTATCTGGACAAGGTAAACACTTGCGGGAGAGGTTCTGGGAATAACTGGCATAACTAAATGTAACTGTAGCTAGACTAGCACTAGCATGCATCTGTGAGTTAGAGGGTGGGTTATGCGTATACATTTTACAGGATTTTTTTTATTTTCTTGAGCTGGCACAAGAAACATTTTGTCTTCATGGGAATACACACTAGTCCCCGTGTAATTTGAGAAGGTGTTATCATTCTGTATTTTCAATCATGAGGTAAATTATTTGCTTCAGTGTGCCTTAAGCACAGGTCTTCCCAGCCCAAAGTAAAGGCCATTGGGTATCTTTTAAGAATAGCTTAGGACTTAGACGCGGGTGGCGCTGTGGTCTAAACCACTGAGCCTAGGGCTTGCCGATCGGAAGGTCGGCGGTTCGAATCCCCGCGACAGGGTGAGCTCCCGTTGCTCGGTCCCAGCTCCTGCCAACCTAGCAGTTCAAAAGCACGTCAAAGTGCAAGTAGATAAATAGGTACCACTCTGGCGGGAAGGTAAACGGCGTTTCCGTGCGCTGCTCTGGTTCGCCAGAAGTGGCTTAGTCATGCTGGCCACATGACCCGGAAGCTGTACGCCGGCTCCCTTGGCCAGTAAAGCGAGATGAGCGCCGCAACCCCAGAATCGTCCGTGACTGGACCTAATGGTCAGGGGTCCCTTTACCTTTACTACCCCAAGAGATAAACAACTATATGATTTTTAGAAGACACCTGAAGGCAGTCCTGTATCGGGACGTTTTTAATGTTTGGTCTATTGTGTTTTTATATTTTGGTGGAAGCATATAAATAAATAATAATTATATCAGCATCATTTCTTCTGCAGGGGTTGATCTTGACAGTTTAATGTTCTGGGTGTTGAGTTTTGCACATTCCATGCATGCCTACACAGTGGCAGACAATATGCTTTGTATCCAGTGCTAGTTTAACTCAGAGTAGACCCATTTAAATTAACACATCTAAGTTAGGTCATGTTGGTTAATCTTAATGCGTTTATTCCTTTAAAAAAGTAAAATGCATCGTAATGGGTCTACCCTGAGTAGGACTAGCCCTGATTTATTTATTTATTTATTTATTTATTTATTTATTTATTTATTTCTTTCTTTCTTTCTTTCTTTCTTTCTTTCTTTTCTTTTTAACAGTTATAAATTGCCATTATGATTTTGCCCAAGCTGGCACACAATTCAAGTGCATAAGGCCATTTTGCCCTTTTCTCTTAACATATATGTGATGGTTTTTCTTACCAAGTTGATGGATGTTGATGGATGGCCATCCTGACTCGGCCCCAGACACACTGACCAGATGTTTGGAAGCTGTGGCTGGATGGTTACGTGGGAGCGGTTGAAGCTAAATCCTTCGTAGACAGAGGTCCTGTGGCTGGGACGGAGCGATATGGGATTGGGGGGGCAACTCCCATCTCTTGCGGGGGCGCAATTAGTGCCAGCACTGTCCGTTAAGAGTTTGGGTGTAATCTTCGACACCTCCCTTTCCATGGAGGCGCAGATTGCAGCTATAACAAAGGCGGCATTTTTCCATCTCCGCCAAGCTAAGCAGTTGGCTCCTTACCTCTCTCGCCCTGACCTAGCCACTGTGATCCACGCGACGGTCACCTCCAGACTGGATTATTGTAACTCGCTCTACGTGGGGCTGCCCTTGAGACTGACCCAGAAACTCCAGCGGGTGCAGAATGCTGCAGCGAGACTCCTTACAAGGTCTTCACTGCGAGATCACATTCACCCGGTGCTATACCAGCTGCACTGGCTCCCGGTGGAGTACAGGATCAGGTTTAAGGTGCTGGTTTTAACCTTTAAAGCCCTATACGGCTTAGGACCCTCGTACCTACGGGACCGCCTCTCCTGGTATGCCCCACAGAGAAACTTACGGTCTTCAAATAAAAACATCTTGAACGGTCCCAGGCCACAGAGAAGTTAGGCTGGCCTCAACTAGAGCCAGGGCCTTTTCGGCTGTGGCTCCGATCTGGTGAACACTCTGTCACAAGAGACCAGGCCCTGCGGGACTTGACATCTTTCCGCAGGGCCTGCAAGACAGAGCTGTTCCACCAGGCCTTTGGCAAGGGCGCAGCCTGACTCCCTCCTTCGGCAATCTTCGTGGAGCTCTGGCCCAATGGCTGCCAGTGGCTTGAATTAATTAATTTTAGAATGAATGATTTTAGAGTGTTGTTTATGTTGTACTTTTGTACTGTTTTATTGTTGTTAGCCGCCCTGAGCCCGGCTAAGGCTGGGGAGGGCGGGATATAAATGAAATTTATTATTATTATTTATTATTCTTTTGTTTTGTCTCCTTTGCATTTTATTTTAAATAAAAAAGATTTTGAAGAGGTGCTTCCAACTATTCCAGAAGAAGTAGCTTTTTATGACATGAAAGCATTAGGATGTCTCCAAGGTACTGCAAATAAAATAATTTATGGTAAATGAAATTACCGGCTGCTGGGAAAAAGACTTGCCTAATGTCAGTGTGCAGTGGGGGAAACCAAAGCAAGCCGGCTGATGGGGATGAGCTTATGGGTTATACACACAGAAATGTGTATGAAGAATGCCAGGCCAAGGAATGGGGAATATTTGCTGAAACAAGAGTGCTCTGTGTTGAGACATCAGTCTATTTATTGGAGGTTGGTAAAAGGTCTTGGAATGTGAACATAGCTACATCTTTTCAGTTCACCACTGGGCTGTCCCGTTTTTTAATGGCACATTGCTCAAAGTTGCTATGAATGCGTAAAGCGTGTAAGTCACAGAAAGAATATTACAGGGGTAATGTGCATCACTCCTAGACGTACTACCTGTTCCTTATCAGTGAACCTTATTTATTTGTGAGATGCACTCTAAAGGAAGGAGGAAGAAACTTGGGTGATCTTTCAGCTAAATTATACTCAGAGCAGACACAGTGAAATCAATGGATCTACTTGATGACTTGCATTGGCTACTACCCCTTAAATTTAATACGTTATAGGGACAGTAGATTCTAATAACTCACTGACAATGTTCTGAAGCATGCAATATAATCTTCTGACACATGCATGGTTTTCTTGCTGCAGCCTCCCTCAACTGCTGCTTTGGACTACAGCTCCCATCAGCCCTATCTGCATAGAACTTAATTTAAGTCCCTCCTAGCACCAAAGCATGGGACGCGGGTGGCACTGTGGGTTAAACCACAGAGCCTAGGACTTGCTGATCAGAAGGTCGGCGGTTTGAATCCCTGCGACGGGGTGAGCTCCTGTTGCTTGGTCCCTGCTCCTGCCAACCTAGCAGTTCGAAAGCATGTCAAAGTGCAAGTAGATGAATAGGTACCGCTCAGGCGGGAAGGTAAACGGCGTTTCCGTGTGCTGCTCTGGTTCGCCAGAGGCAGGCTTAGTCATGGTGGCCACATGACCCGGAAGCTGTACGCCGGCTCCCTCGGCCAATAAAGCGAGATGAGCACCGCAACCCCAGAGTCGGTCATGACTGGACCTAATGGTCAGGGGTCCCTTTACCTTTACCTAGCACCAAAGCAACATGTGCAGAATAACCAAAAGGGAGATTAGAATGTAGAAAGATAATAGTCTTCTTCAGGCATGCATAAAGGGGTGGACTGAGAATATGTGGCTAGCCCCACCACTAGATGCCAGCATGTGTGCTGACTTTGGGCACCTTCCCCTGAGGAACCAAATGCCCCCCCACTGAACACCACAGTTGAGCAGCACATGGAGCACACTAGAAGGGAGGTTATGGAATGGAGTGCATCCACAGGCCAGAGGGTTAGTCTTTTAAGGCCCTGAAGTTCTCTATAAATTGGTGGAGCCTGCAAGTGGTAGCTGGGAGAAAGAGGCTTAAAGGTTTTTTTATTTATTTTACTTAATAAATTTTATATCCTGCTTGACCGCACCAAACAAGAAATTAAAATGATCAATAAACACAGTTATAAACAAGTTTATCCTGCAAACTCTAACCTCGCTGTTCTTGCAAACATGTGTTTTACTACTGAACTGTCATCTCTCCCCAATAAGCAACAGATAACAATGATTTTCATCATGACATTCTTGCTCACTTTCCTGGGGCATCTGGCTTTTCATAATGGAAAGTTGGTTGGTGAGTAAGAGACAACTTTCCTCTCTTCTGGGAAGCCATTTCTCAACATTCATATTCCAAGAGTTCTCCCTATCGGTGCAAAAGGCCATCTTGAGATTGGCCTTTAAAGAGGATGATTGGGAGTGCATCCAGTACCCAAATTTGCACACAGTGTATGGGGGAGCCTGTTATTCTGCTTAATATAAATATTTGTAGAATTATACTTAAGTAATTATCCACGCAAAGAGGGAAGATGTTTATGCACGCTGAAGCAAAGTTTGCTAGCAGAGGCTGAGATTTCAACCGCTCCCACGGGGAATTCATAGGAATGGAGATTTTCTTCTAACCTCTGGCCTGCTCGCCCTGACATACGACTTTAATTTTCGAGGGAAATTGGCACTGCGGCATCTTGGTACTGGTAAGCAATCCATCATCCTCAGTAAATGTGGGTGTGACAGTTGAAAATGCTAGCCTTCTTAAAGCCATGGTACAAGACATCTCGGATCCAGCCCACAGGAACCACAAGCCTTGGAGAAAGTTTCACACAGGAACCTGCAGTGGGAAGATAGCTCCTGGGTCATTGCTCTCTCTAAATATCTCGAAACAGAGCTCTTTGGAACGATAGTCTAGACTAAAGGACAGCATTGGCAGAAGATCAAACATGTGGCTTCACTTCATGTCCCTGTTTAATGAAGTGAGTTCACAAAGGGCTTTCTCTCAGCCCCCTATTCTCTATCTCGCAATCTCATGACATTCTGTTTACTAGCTGCTATTTTCTTGTACCCATTCTCGATCAATAATTGCCTGTTTGATCTTTCACCACTATCTGAGCAATGGCTTAAAAAATATATATATGTTAGCGTGAGTTCTGAAGATGCTAATTGCCATGTCCCAATTGCTTCTC